AAAATGGTCCCATGTGGATTCATCTTCATTGCCGTTATGTTTCATTGATACTGACAATTAGTCTCTAAATTGTTTGATTTTATTTCATGGTTTTCCTGCGTTTGCTCRACTATAATATTCTTAGAAATGATCGACTTTTTGCTGACTCAACAAGAGAAAGAATGAAACGACTTTCATTACCTGTTATTTCTGCGCCACAGTGGTTTTGGGGTACACATGTGGTTGCTAGGCGATAGTCATTGCCTTCAGTGTCTTTAAATCTGTACCACACATCTTCATCGATCTCGTGATTGAGATTTTGGTCGTTTGCCTTTGTTTCTACAGATTTTAATGCATTGGCTACGTACAGAGTTCTGTAGTCTTCACAAACCGCTGTTGAGTCTAAAAAAACCGAATAGTAGTGATGTTGATATAACAACAGAACAACATCAAAACAATAGAAGAGCAGCAGTAGCAACAACAACAAGATCAGCGGCAAAAACAACAACAGCAACAGCAACAGCAACAACAACAACAACATCAACACCTGCAGCAACAACAGCAACAACAACAACAACAGCAGTAACAACAACAACAGCTGCAGCAACAACAGCAACAAACCACAGCTGCAGCAGCAGCAACAACAACAAGATCATCGGCAACAACAACAAAAACAACAACAGCAACAACAACAACAACAGCAGCAACATCTGCAGCAGCAACAGCAGTAGCGACAACAACAAGATCAGAGGCAACAACAACAACAACAACAACAACAGCAACAACAACAATAACAATAGCTGCAACAACAACAGCAACAGTAATAACAACCTTGATCTCACTCTCACTTAATTATCGATGACTATGTACATACGAGGCTCCGGGAAAACAATGGATAAACTTGATTTATTCTTTTATTTCCCCGGAGCCTCGTCTACAATTCTTTTGTGCATGGTCACTGGACCAAAATATCTAAAGTCGGCCATTATAGGCTTAACATACCTTTTATTTTCAGATAAACTACTTTTTCGCTAGCTTGTACTGAATTGGAAACCTGACAAGTGTGTTTGCCAGCTCTTTGCTTCGTTACTTTATTGTAGACATATACCTTGGGTGCATTATTCATCTTATTTTTCTTAAAGTACCAATTAAACTTCATAGTTAATGCACCAATAGCATTGCAGTTCAGAGTGACGTTATCACCTTCGTAACCAATGACGACAGATGGACTGGAATCCATGAAGACTGGGGCACACAGGGGTCCTATTGAAAAACAAGACTAGATTAGAGAATGRKCTAGTGAAAGGCAAAGTTGTGAGTGGGTGAAAAGCTGTGTCTAAAACGTATGAATTAATTAAATGATGTCCTATAAAAATGATTGGCTGTGGATTGGTGCAATTAAAGCAGGCCTGGAATCTATGAGGATAGCACTAGTTCCCCATCCTGCCCCTCCCGGGTTTTGGAAGGGAGAGGGGGATTGCTGGTACAGGGGTTTAACTGACTGATGTATTATAGATGTTTTTTTAATCAATGGAAAAGAAAGTTTTACCATTTCTTCGTCCGAGAACCGACGCTCTCATGCAGGGTACCGAGCCAGTGGGCTCATAAGCCATGATGTGAATCCTGAGATATTGAGCCTCAATGTCGTCACGGAAGTGATGGGTTACATACCCACTGATATCTTTGTTTCCTTCAAACGTCTGAAAGTTCACTTAATTATCAGTACGGCCAATATTTAAAGGACTTGTTGCAAGCATCCCGATGTGGAGAAATATCAATACTTGCCCTCCCCTCCCTTACCTTATTCTGATGAGTTTTTTCATCTAAATAAAATCTCCATGTTTTGTTATCTTCGCTAAATGACACCTGTTAAACAATCAAGGCATAACGCTGCGTGACAAGGATTACGTGACCGGGGCATTAAGTCACGTGATCACAATTGAGAACTCAATAAAAATAACAGACAAAAAACTTCCGATTGTGTGACAAAACGGATTATGCGATACACAATGAATCCATCTGAGTGCGTTACAACAATCGCGTGACTAAAGGCAAAAATTAAATGAACCAGGTTGCTTGACATATAACAGATATTAAAAGGTTTGCATTGCATGAAAATGATTACGTTTCAAGCAAAAAACATCAATTGACTCCATTACAGTAGTTGCTTATCCAAAATGTTCATAACATTCGTACCTGGTATCGTGTGACCTTCCTTTCTGTGCCTCCATTTCTTGCACCTTGCGTGACAATACCCGTGACAAGCATCACGCAACCAAAATCAAATTGGAGCCATTCGTGGCGAAGATTATGATTCGTGTGGTTGCTGCACCATGGGTATATCCCGGGGTAATTAAGCCGTGCCATATATGGTTGTCGACCTGTCCAGCTCGATGATGCTGTTAATCCACTGTTCGGCATTTCTTGACGCTCAAAGTCAATTCCAAGATCGGCAGGAGAAGCTGACATAATCAGTGAATTTTCATTTTCTGAGGGTTTATTTTCACTAATGGCTTTTTATTTGTTTTGGCGAAATGCATCATGGTACATTGGTAAAATGTTACGTTTAGTAACTTAAATTACGACTATGACTATGTTGTCATATTCCAAATAACAAACATACCTTTTCCAAATGTATACACCTCGACTCKCATTGATATATGGGAATGCCACGTGACGGGCACGAACCTAACGTAACGCGCAAAGATTGCTGGGATGATCTGATGACGTACTACAGTGTCTGCATCGTTATTACCAATCAACTGAAATTGTGTAAATTTATATTAAAATATAAATGGTGATCAATTATTTCTTTTTCTCAAACGTTGGCTATAACACTGGAAAAAATCGCGCTCTTTAAAGGTTGTAAATTTGATGGAAATATGATTTACATCAAATTTACAAATTTACAATCTTTAAAGCGCGCGATTTTTTTTACAGTGTAATGAGTTACCATGGTTACCTTGTTGCTTCCATCATGTTTATAAGTGGTCCATTGCCCATGGCTGTTGCCGTATATTAGCGAATAGGAAGTAACCCACTGTGCTACATTATGTCGACCTTGTGTGGCCACCCCCGAGATCCACTTTATATCAATCAAACCGATTTCTAACCATTGTTCTTGGTTAACTTGATCATGAGCGCTTCCCCAGGCCTGATACCCTTCTAGGATAATACCATGGAGACGACCGTAATGAGGGGGGAGGTGTGGGGATGCATGATGCGAAGAAGCCTTTATTGCTCCATTTTGGATTTCACCATTAGCCATACCAAGCGGCGTGAAAGGATCTATTCAAAAACATATGTTATCACGTGATATTCGTACCACGACCTCCATCGCCTTTGAACATATTGAGTACCCGGATGATGGATAAGGGCCTGGGGACGAAGTTATAGATTCCCTCGACTCCATGCTAAGGGTAGGGGATTGTAAGGGCTTAAATCAATAAGCCACTTCCCTATTCTACTTACATCTAAATACAAAACAACTGAATGTGAAGCTCCGATTAAATTTAATATAGAGGTAGTGACTGTGAGTGAAAATCTTTGACTAAACTGGTATTATTATCAAGCTCTTTCAGTTTTCATTGAGTTGTGTAACCATAGACTTCTTCTACGAAACACAGTGAATTCGCAGTGAATTGTGGGTATGGAATCGTGAGTTAGTCTTTGACTTAACTGGTTATTAAACAAGTTAAACTGGTTATCAAACAAATTAAACTGGTTATTATTATCAAGCTCTTTCAGTTTGAATTGTGTTTGTTCACCATAGACCTTTTCTACAAAACACAATCTCAGTGGATTGTGGTCTAGTTAATTCATTACAAAAAATATTATATTTGGCCATGTTAGCGCAGTGACAGTGTTTGTACTAAATTTAG